AATCCCTTATTGGTTGAATATATAACTGACTTGACCGTCGGAGTGCTTGCGGCCGCTCCCACCCCCTCTGGGAAAGGCCATGAGCCACTAATGGCGTGCTACGTGTGCAGGAGAAGCTGATTTGAAGACCTGTTCTGTTGGCCACGTGTTCGAGCCATTTTTCGAGGTCAACAGTCTTCATTACCAACAAAAAAATATAATTTTTTTTTCCGATTTTTCCGGTTAATCCGGTTAATATAATTTTTTTACATTTTTTTTAACTATCTTGATGGCCCATCTATTGCAATAAAAGACCAAAATAACTTTTTTAATACAAGTGACATTCATTTGGCTCCTTTTTAAAGAAGTTTCATTTTTCAATGTTTTAGTAATCTTTCAATGTGGAACTAGCTCCTTTTTAAAAGTGGATTACTTTTATCAACGAATAATCTGTTTCTAATTACCAACGGATGTAGTCCGTTGGTGATTATCAGTATGTTGACTACATAAAGTACGGAATATCCGTTGGTAAAGAGATATCACCGTTACCAACGAAATTTTCGTTGCTAAATATCGTGATTAAAAGTGGATTACTTTTACCAACGGATAATCCGTTTGTAATTACCAACAGATCAGATCCGTTGATGATTATCAGTAAGTCACCTAAGGAAATATCCGTAGGTGAAACATCCAAATGTTAAATGGCTAGAAGAGGTACGAAATATCCGTTGATAAAGAGATATCACTGTTACTAACGGAAATTCCGTTGTTAAATATCGTAGTTAAAAATGGATTATTTTTACCAACGGATAATCCATTTCTAATTACCAACAGATCTGATCCGTCGGTAAATTTCTGTTGGTGAAAAGCTATTTTTTAGTAGTGAGACATTTTAAATTAAAAATCTTGTCGTCACATTAGATAATTCATAAAGCAACATGCCTTAACGTGGAAACAACATTTAAAATGTAACATTTGAGCCTGAAAAATAACGTTAAACGTGAGGAGATGCATCACTTGCTGGTTCGACAATAGAAAAAGATGAATATATTAAGCACAATAATTTAAATATGCTAGGAATGAAACCCTAAATTTTAAAAAATATTTCTTTAGTAATTAAAGTAAGAAATAATTTATTTATTTTTATAGTAGATAACAATTATTTTAAAATATATGTATTTGATACTTTTGACACAATATTAACAAAAATATGCTATTTAGATATTTTTTAAAAAATAAAAAATTACTCCCCTTCAACCGTCCCTCAAGTAAATAAATAAAATATAAAAAATTACTTAGAAGTGAAATTTCATTTTTTTAAAATCTAATGCCTTCCATTTATTTAGGGTATATTTTATTGGAAGTTACCAACTTTCAATGAGTCTCAATTATTGTATAGGGATGTACAATTCATTAATATATTCAATTTATAAGTATTATATTCTTTTAATTATACCTTGTCATTTCCATTCCATGTGCTCTAGATTTATGAATTGAGAACTACAATTTTCTTAAAGTAATATTACTCACAAATCACAATATATTTTTTGATGAGTAAATAGAGTCAGACTTTTACATTTTTTTAATTACTAAACTTTTTTGAAAATAATTATATATATATTTTTACTTGTATATGTATATAAATTATACGGATATAAGAGTAACTTATTTACACGAAAAAAGTTTATTTGAAATAAGTTTAACTTAACGTGGATGCTATAAGTTAGGAAGAGTTGGTCGCCTGCCTCTATCTATTATTTATTTAGAAAAGAAAACCTTTCTCTCTCTGCCCTTAAGTCTCTTATAAAATTAATCATGTTTGGCTAAGCTTGTCAAGTAAAGAGTTGAAATTCATTTCTCCATTGTCTCAATAAAATAATTATTATTTATACTTTGTAGTCCTATTTGGTGGGGATCAAAATAATTTTTTTAGTAAGTTTTGATAAATTCTGATGAAATATAGTTGAAAAGTTGTGGATTTCATAAAATATGTGATTAAAATTAATTGTTGATTTTGACTGAAATTAAAATATAGATTTTAATTCTTACCAAATATGAGCTTAGTCATTTAATTTGGGTTAAATACGTGTTTGGTCGCCCAACTTTTATTATGTTCTCGATAGTTTAATAATCTATTCAATATTAAAATGTTGCAAAATCATATTTTCATGATTTATACAAAATCATATCCTATGCCTCTTTCAGTTTATGTCACTTACGGATCAAGTTTTTATCTACAAATTCAGATAAAATTTATCATTTTTATTCATTGTAAGACTTTCTAAGCTGTCAAACATCAGTACAACTTGTCAAGTTAAGGAAGTTGATTCCTTATTACTGTCATTTATAATTTTGCCCCTGTTTATTAGTGATTAAAATTTTCTTCCCTCTTTTCCAACTACATATTTTTTAATAAAATAATATTTTTAATAACTTTTCCCTCTATTTCAACCACAAATTCAACCACAAATTCGTTCCACGATACATTCTCCAAAAACAAATTCTCCATCAATTTAATATTTTAGAATACATTCTTCCTGCTTTGTAATCAATTCTGCAACAGCACGATCTCACATCCCAACTCTGTAGTTTCGATATACAGAAGGGAAAAATCTTATACAGATATCCATATAACTCTTTTTGGGGAAGCCTGTAAAATTCTTTGCAGAAAATGGCTCAAGGCGCAGTGGGTTTTGTTGGGTTGGATGAAATCACTTTGGATTTGGCGGCTTCTCTTCTTCATTCTGGCTATGCCGTTCAAGCATTCGAGGTTTGCCCAATTTCATTTTAAATTACTAGTTTTCGTATGAAAAGTCACTTTTTGTTTCTTTTTACTGGGAAAACCGTAGAAGTGATTTTCAATGTAGATAATTATAGGAGCTAAGTTGGTCAACTTTAGAATACTTCTGTTTGTTGGTTTGATGCAGTGTTTTGATCTGTCTCGTCTCGATTTAATTGAATCTTTTTGGGTGGTGTGATGAATTTTTTGGGTGTTGTTTGGTGATAGATATTGAACAGATTAAATATTATTTAAATGATCTAAGTGCTTATAAGTAAAATTTTAAGTAATTTTGCAGTCTTCTGATGCAAATCATGGAGAGAATCCATAATTGGCGGAGACGGGTATTGTGCGGCATAGTCTACAAAGGAAAAAAAAGGTTCAACTTGTGAAATTTTGAAGTGGAAAGTACTGGGGAATTTAATTGAAGGGATTGGGAGTTTATCAAACGCAATTATTAGCTAGATTCACACGTAATTATTTTGAGTCAAAGAGTTGCAACTGTTGTAGATACGGTTTAATTTATAAATAGTTAGAAATGAGTGGTGGATAAGTAAATAATACTAATGGGTTCATTGGAACGTGTGGTTGAAAATAAAGTTCAACCAATTTATAAATGAATTATAAATTTTCCAGATGGAGGCGAATACTTATTATAATCATCGCATTCTTTTTATGACAAAATCTGCTTATTTTTGTGTACAAAATCTGTTTTAGTTCCGTGAAAATTGGTGCATATGTTGTGCACCATACTTGCTTGTGCTTAAAAGTTACTTTTCTAAAACATTCTAGAAAAATAACTTTCGTTAGTAGAAAAGGTAATGTTAAAAATAATGTTTTGCTAAATAAGTAACTTAAAAGTATGTTGGACAAATTTTATGCACTTAGATCATGTTTGTCTAAGCTTAAAAGGAGATTTCTTGAGCTCCTTTTTATGGCAGTTTTACCGTTAGTACTGGCAAAAAATAAAATAAATCTTAAAAGGAGCCAAACTCCGTAAACTATTGAATTTAACAATTCTCACTTGGGATCTCCTTGAATGAATGTAGTTTTCTGCAAAAGTATTAATTAGTTAAAATGTTTCCGAGGATGCTCTTCAAGTAAATATTAAAATTAAAACAACTCTTCTCGTGCACCTCAAACTAAAAAGTGTCATTCAATTTAATAAAGATGATGATAAAAAATTTTCACATTATGCCCCTACTTGATGAAGTCAAAAATCAGATTTTAGTACATCTTAATAAAAGTTAATAAAATACGTGATTGAAAAGTTGATAAAAGTTGTGAGTCCCACGAAATGTGTGATTAAAATTAATTGTTGATTTTGTGAAAACCAGAATGAATAAAAGTACTACAGCCATAAAGTTAAAAATTTGTTGGACGAGCTTTGCACGTATCATCAAATTAGCATTAAAGTTGATCATCTAAAGCGCTAAAGGGCCATGTCATTTACCTACATTTGAGACTGGTATTATTCTGTGTCTTGTTTTCATAAAATGCTTACAATTCTTACATTCACAGACATCCAGTCCTCTGATGGATGAGTTCTCAAAGCTAGGGGGCAGAAGAAGTTCCAATCTGATGGAGACAGGGAAAGGTGAAAATACTAGTTCTGCCTTTTGCTGCCATTTTTGTCTGTCGTTCTCCTTATTTTCAGAATATCGGTTTCTTCTTAATCTTGCATCTTACAGTTGTTGTAACAATCAAATTGATATAATTTTTTTTATTTTTATTTTTTTGTGAATAGTTTTCATAATGATTTACTGATGTAGGACATATCTTCCTTTCTTGTGGTAGTTACTAGGATGATTTGAAGGTTTTGACAATTATGGCATTTAACTGAAAATAGTAGAAGTTCTTAACTATGAAAGAATGAAACTGCATGCACACAGTCATGTATGCATCCTGGGAGATAAAAATGGAGAGCTTTTTCGAAAGGGGCCTGAGTCGGGCAAATCATGAAGACAGCTGGCCCAATGGGTCAGACCATTGAGCAGAATGGGGAGAATAATAACAAAGACATTGAGAAATTAATATGTCGTCACAACAGTGATAAACAAAGCACTGTTGCTGTCCTACATCAATCAAGTTCCATAGTTAATTTTCAGAAAGAGAACAAGCAAAACCCCGAATATATAGAACAAGTGACAAAAGGCCATGACTAAATGAAAATTGCACTATATTTTGGTTCTGTATTTTCAAACCTACTTTTTAGATGGTTGAATCTTTCTTCAATAACTTTCTGATGTCTTGCTCGTGTGTAATTTCCATTGGATTTCTTACATTTTTCCCTTTTTTCTGTCCTGCAGGTGTCAGAGCTTTGGTTATATTGATATCTCACGCTGATCAAATAAATGATATTATTTTCAGTCAAGAGGGTATTTTAAAAGGTTGCTTTCGAGCTTTTGAATGTAGTTTAAGTTAATAGTCAGCCCCTTTGATTAAGGTGCACTGATGATTCTTTTCTGAACACCCAGAATTGCAGAAAGACACGGTCATTGTTCTCCATTCAACCATAAGCCCAGCACATATCCAGAAGCTGGAAAAGAGTCTTACAGGCAACTTTTTTTTTTATTTTTTTATATGCTGATTCCCTGTTGTGTTATCTTTAGTAAAATGTACTAGAATAATTATCTATTCTTTTAAATATATGTTTGCATCCTCTCTTCAGAAAGCCATTGTGAAGCTTACCTATACGGATTCTGACATTATCTATCTGCATTTCTCAAGTCTTAATTTCCTTCCCCCCCCCCCCCCCCTCCTCGAGTTCAAAAATTTTGTTTCTCATTTTTATAATGAATTCGATGAAATGGCACCCATCACCTCCATCTTGAATGGGATGGTTTAATTCAGTTTGCGTCAGGCTTTCCCATTTTCCGTTTGAAGTTGCCTTGGTAGTAGCCCAGTTCATTTTCAACCATGTTGATCAAAACGATTAAGTTTAATGACTTCACCCATTTTTCTTGCAGTCCTTAGAACTCTTACTGAAGCATCATATCATATTTAACTGTTTACTTGTGAACAAAATGATGTGCATATTATCAAAATTCAAACCAAATAGTACAATCAACAAGTTCACTTGAATAGAAACTCAAATTAATAAATGAAAAATATTGCTTCAAAAAATTGTTTATTTGACCTGAAAGAGATTATCATCCATTTCATTTTGGCTAAGAAAACAGGGTTAATATCAGACATGCTGTACTTCGAAATTCCTAGTTAGATATTTCTAGAAATGGGTTCGGTTTCCCCATCGAACCAGATAAAAATTAAGAAAATTGATTCTGCATTGTTGTTTGACACATACATGACGACGTTGTTTTTTAACACATCCTTGATGATGGAGGCCTTACTTTTCTATGCTTGAATATCCACGCTGTTCTGTATCTCCAATCTTCGTTATGCTGCAATTATGCATTATTTTTTCAATCCAAAATAGATGTATACATATTGTCCTTCTAGATTGCCTAGTTTCTCTGTTGTCTTTCCTTTTGGCCTCTTTCATCCTTCCATGTCTCTCTCTACAGGCATTGGATGTGCAAGTTTCATCTTCCACTCTACTATAAAGGCTAATTTATAGTTTTATATTTCAGTTTATAATAATTGGATCCATGAAGTAGGTGTGCCAATTAATACATTTTTTATGCAATTATGAAGTAATTATACTGCTAAACCCCACACCCATCCATAATAAATTTGGGGAAATAATCCAGTCTACTTAAAAAGTGAAATAAGATAGATGAGGACATCAATTGGTTAATGCATCTGTCCAACTTTAGTTTCTTATAATCATGAATGAATTTACTTTCTCAAATATATTTATTCGATGGTTTGCTTTTGCAGAGGATTATCAGATGGATTTCGTTGTTGACATGTACGTCTTGAAGGCAGTATCTGAGGTTTTGAATGGAAAAGTGATGGTAAAAAAGTTATGCTTTACTTAAAGATTAAATCTATCTTTTCTCCTATTATTTGATATACAGAATGGCTGTTGTTCTTGTCATTCAGATTGTATCTTCAGGAAGATCTGATTCCACCTCACGTGCACAGCCTATCCTTTCAGGTTCAGTCTTCTTTTTTCTTCAAGGTTTTTTGAAGCAATTTTATGCTAAAAAATATGGAAAATGTTTCTCTTAAATATTCCTCACACTTCTTATTCCAACTGTTGTTTTATGAGCAGCCATGTGCGAAAAACTTTTCATGTTTGAGGGTGAACTTGGTGCGGGAAGGTGTGCTTTCTTTGACTTCATATATCTCCTGCCCTGTTTAGAACAAGAAATTATGTTTCATTTAATCATTGATAGGAGATTTCATAAATCAATATACTGTCCAAGTACATACCTAGAATATTGTTGCAGATAAAAGATATATAATTTAATATTCTATTGCAAGTATATCTATGAACAGTGTAAATGATCTATCTTATGTTTTCTAAAATAAGCTTTTTATTTCCCTTTGCAGTAAATGTAAAATGGTAATTGAGCTCCTTGAAGGCATTCATTTTGTAGCTTCACTTGAAGCCATGTCTCTAGGTGCTCAAGCAGGGATTCATCCATTGATAATTTATGATATCATCTCTAATGCTGCAGGAAGTTCATGGTGAGTACACTCATATAATTGCTTCATCCTTGGTTTTGTCCACCGTGAATCACACACACACTTATTTGCTTGTTTACTAATCTTGCTAAATGTGTTAGTGTGTAATGTTCCTCCCTTTTACTTGTTTCTTCTCATTGATTGTGTGTGTGTACACACAATCTATTAGAAGAAGCAAGTTTATATGTGGTTCTTTACTTAGTAGCACTCTAAGCAACATTACAATGTAAATGTTACTTACAATTTGTTTCGTTCTTCCTTTGTTACTTGTTTCTGTTTGTAAATAATTATCTCTTGTACTTATATAGTGCAAGGTTTCTCATCTGATTATAGCATATTTACAGAATTATTTTAAGCAATCAATAAAATCAGCTGCTGAAATTTGGGTCGTATTGATTGTAGCAGTTTGCACAAAGTGTAATTGGTGCAGGAACAAACAGTGAGAATTTTTTTTCATACTGACCATAAAACAAATATGTGGCTTCCACCTAATAGGGGCTAAGATCTTTTGATTATTAGTACTATCAAAATTACGAATTGGGTTTTGAGGTTCACTGTGATCATATGCGGCAATTTCAGCTATAGGGTTCAATTTCATTGTCTGATTTTTGATTCCTAAGAATAGGACAAGATATGGTAAGGTTTTCAGGTAAGATGTCAGGCAACAAAATAACCATAGGCAGGTTGATGACCTGTAGCTCATTTCGGTTCTCCTAAGTTGTTTTCTTTTACTTTATTACCTGAAGAGCATATAAAAAGAAAATAGAGTTGTCAGTTTGGTAATAAATAAATAGAATAATAATTATACCTCAACAAACTCGCATTTGCAAGCAGAATACAGCAAACCAGTCTTGATTTCATATTTACAGTCTCCTTGACCATTTTTTCTATGGACCAGCCATAAGGATGCTTTCTGTATGTAGGAATTATTCTGGCCTGCTCTTAAGGCTCAACCTTTAAAAGCCTAGTGTGAAATTATTAAATGGAACTTTAACTTGTATTATAACAAAACGCTCCTTAATTGAACAAAAATGAGAGAGCAAGACTATTTTTATTTAAACATGAAATGAGTGATCCAGGGTGTAATGTTGAATTAGAGGATATAGTAACAAGCAAAGCCAGTACTAATTTTATTTCAAATTTTTTAAAAAAATTCTTAGGATTGTAAAGTTGATCAAAGTCCAGATCATGCTAATAGAATAATGAGGTGTGTCTCTAGCATCAAAACATAACCCTATATCCATCTGCTGTGTGTCACGGGACTAGATTTCTTACACTAGAAAAACTAGACACCGTGTGGTCTTAACGCAACACAATTCCCGTCCCTACGAGAAAGCGCTAAGTCAGCCTTTCGACGCCCCAAAATGATTCAATCTTGTAGGCTAAATCAAGACAAACTTTGAGTNTTACAAATGAGACTTCATCTCTATTTATAGGCAAACCTCCTTGGATTCAAGGGCTAAGATCAATCCCCATCCAAGGGCCCCAATTGATTGAAACTTAACTTAAACCTCCTTAGACCAAGAGAAGCAAACTTGGACTTTGTTTCTTGCAAGTGGATTTTCCCTACAAAAATCCCATGGGATTAATGTCCCTTTCATAGTCATCAAATTGGCTTTTGCTTCCTTTCTTGGCATTTGGTCTTGCAAGTGGATTGAGTAACCAATTTGTACAAGACTCCCAAAATATCCCAGCAATCTGCCCATGGTATTTTCCTCCAGAAAATCGCCTGGTATGCTGGGATTTACTGCCCATGTCGCGCTCATGTCACTCCCCATGTCAGGCAGCCTGCATTTTGTGTTGCGGTGGTGCCTGCGTCGTGACGCGATTGCAGTCTGTGTCTGGCCATGTCCTGGCTGCGTCGTGGGTGCTGCTTGAAATCTGCCTGCGATGTCCCAGGAACTGTCTGCAATCTGTCTGCGTCGCAGCCTGTGTCGCAGTGACTGCAACCACACCCGAATTCTTCAGACACGACCTGGACACGAACCAGCCACCAGGAACATCAGTCATTTCCCCACCATTTTAGGTGACATCCCCGTGCCATGCTAGATCTCAAGTCATCACCTTGCGATCCGTCACATGTGGCATGTGCCTTGTGGGGTGGTAGCTGGACCTTATGTTGGTCAGGGGATTCGCATTTTCAGTTCAATCATCTGGATATGACTTTAGGTAGGAGAGCTATGCACAATAAGGTGATCTACATGGTCTCTAAAACTTGTTTAGCAATGATAAGTGATAACCACACGTTGCTAACTCTTCGGTAACTAAATAAATTGGGCTGGCTTAAAGTGGTATATTTTGCTCTGGTCATATGAATCCGCATATTCATTCTTTATCTGCTTCATATTTTCTTCTATTTTGGGCTTCTCATGGATGATTTCATTCTTATTTTCTCTTGATTTGACCACCTAAATGGTAAGTGATGTTTTTCACCGTTTCCATATTCTGCAGGGTTTTCAAGAATTACCTTCCTCAGTTGTTAGCGGGTAACCAAACCAAGCATCACTTCCTCAATACTTTTGTTCGAAACTTGGTAAGATTTCTAAAATATGCTAAAAACAATATATTTTTTTATATTTCCTGTTGCTGCTTGTTGACATTTGTGTAGATGGGATGTTTCATCTTGTCTTACACCCAAACAATTCTTTGAATTTAAATGTCACGTCATCCATGGAGAAATCACTTGTTTAGATTGATATAATTGAACGCGTGGAAAAATGGTCGATATTGATGAACTTTCTGGGGGATACATTGTACTACACATGCACTCCAGATGAAGGGAAAGGGCAACATTAAATTATGTTTCAACTTAAATTATCTCAAGTGAGGATATTTATTATAGGCTCCTGAGTTCATTGAAAGCATAGCGATTAGGTGCCTGAGTTCTACATATTCATATGATTACATCAAAGACATATTGCTTTCTATTTCTTTTTGGCCCCATGAAAGTGCGGTTTCAAAAAGAAAGTTAGACTGGACAGAAATGGATGGTGGCCTCGAACTATTCATTTATTGGTAATGCTTGTGGCAAATGGTGAAACAAAATTGTGGAGCTATGCGAAGGAGTGAGGCTGGTTGGGTTGTGGGTTTTTGAGTATGCAATGGCAATACGGCGGTCTGGTTTCCGTCTAAAGTGTCCACTTGTCAGAAAGCTTTCTTAGAACTTTTATCAAGTTCTGATACTGTTATTGAGGGAAGATTTGAATGCATAACCTCATTAATCTGCAATTGCTTTTTGTATCTTTGAACCTGTTCTTTTTAAAAAGAAATGTGTCCCCACTTTTGGGATGGGGAGATGGCTGTGGAAATGTGACTGCAAAGGGAACCTGTTCTTTGTCTCTTGTTCTGTGTCTGTATATTTGAAAATTTATCAAATTCAAATATATGGAGAATAGCATAAAAAAATCACAAAATTAAAAAATGAAACATATTGTTGATTTAGCTTCTAAGAGCATTTCCAAGAGACTCTTATTTATAAAGAGTATTTTATGCATTATAGAGAGTATTTTTAAATTTAGAGAGTCAAAATTTTATACACTCCAACAATGCTTTCATTTCTGGCTCTTCATTTTGATTTTCTCGAGAAACATTTGTTGATTTCTCCTCTTATTTTATTTAACATAATTTTTTATATGTCATTGGTCAATCAATTTAAATATGGTTTGAATAGTTTAAGAAGTAAATTATCGAAATTTGTGACTTATTAAATGCAATCATTGTTCATTGAGAATAGATAGTGAGTTTGACTCTTTAAATATGGAGAGTCAAATCCAGTCTCCATTTTAAAAAGTTAAAATAGAGAGCCTCTTGGAGTATTTTTAAACATTAACTCTTTAAAATAAAGATTATTTTGTATTTAGAGAGTCTTGAAGATGCTCTAATCCATTTCAATAATTAGATAAAAATTATCCATTGTAGTACTAGTTAGTCCACATTTCCTTTTACATAATAGTTGGCAAATTATAAGAGAAAAAGACTTGAGGATAATGGGGAGTGGGCTCGTTAACTATAAAAGCAGACAAACTCTGTGTTTCATTCTAGTTCAATATTTTTTATCAACTTCTTGTTTTCCTAATTGATTTTATTTGCATTTAAGGGGACAGTCCTGGATATGGCAAAATCACTTATATTTCCTCTTCCACTTTTAGCTGTCGCTCACCAGCAACTTCTAGCAGGTATAACAGACACATCTCATATTAAACTTATTTTGGACTCGTATTATTAATATTTAAACATAAACAGGATTGAAGAAGATTACGCCAAATATTACGAGAATATTCTTGCACACACACACACATATATATATATATTTGTACCATACATAGAATTACCATATTTAGATTATTTGTAACTATAAATTGTAAGCATCCCTAATGGAAGATTAATTCAACAAAATTGTTTACATGGTATCAGAGCCATACCGATAGAAATCGGAGCTGAATCCTTATTGGTTGTCAAATTCTGTCTCTGACATCGTGGGTGCTCGACGTGAGTCCCAGAATCTTTGAGGGTGGTCGGCTCGACTCCGGCGATTTCTGTTCTTGACCGACGCAAATACAGCGTCGTCATGTGGGCGGCGTTTTCTTGTTTGAGACTCCCCAGTTTCATTCGCTGTTCGTGACCGGCGAATTGTGTGGGCTCGTCTTCCATTGGGTGATTTTGTGGGTTTGTCCTCCGACTTCGATCGATCGATTTGGTACGTTTGCCGTGTCGATTGGGTGGCTGCTGGAGGTTGGTGTAGTGAGGTGTACGTGGGTTGTGCAATTGGGCCTCAATTATTAATTGTGTGGGTATTGGACCTGTTGTGGGCTTGTGGAATTGATTAAATTTTGGGCCACTTCTCTTGGGCAAATATTAGTGGGCTTTGATTAATTTTGGGATTTCCAACTTGTAGGATACTATTTGGCGTGTGCTGATTATTATTTTATTTGACCTACTTGTGACATAACATCATGTCTGTTGAAGCATTCTGTGTTAAATTTACGGGGAAGAATTATTCGATATGGGAATTTCAATTCAAGGTGTTTTTGAAAGGGATGGAACTTTGGGGTCATATTGATGGGACCTCAAATGCACCTGAAGATACGAAAGATCTCATTGCATGGGAAACGAAAGATGCTCGTATTATCTCTTGGATTTTGGGATCTATGGAGGCACACATGGTCAATAATTGACGGGCCTTCACTACTGCTAAGGAGATGTAGGAATACTTAAAGCGCATTTATTATCAGGACAATAATGCACGGAGATTTTGCCAACTACACTCAGGGCAACCTTAATATTGAGCAATATTATTCTAGTTTTCTGAACTTGTGGAGTGAGTACTCTCGGTTAGTTTATGCTAAAGTTCCTGCGACAACCTTATCAGCACTTCAGGAGGTCCAGGCGGTTAGTAAGCATGATCAATTTCTCATGAAATTACGACCCGAATTTGAAGTCGTTCGAGCAAGTTTATTAAATTGTGGGTTCCTTCATTGGATGTGTGCTTGGGAGAACTTTTGCATGAGGAGCAACGGCTGGCAACTCAGGCTCATATTGGTGTAGATTTTTCCTCCTCTGGTGTGGTCAACGTTGCATATGCTGCCAAAGGATGACGAAAGGGTTCACTTCAGTGCTTCTACTGCAAGGGATACAGTTATATTGCTCGTAACTGTCCTCAGAAAGTTTGCAATTACTGTAAGCAATCAGGGCATTTCATCAAGGAATGTCCCACTCGACCTCCAAAACGGACAGCAAATGCATTTCAGGCTGATGTTCAAAGTATTACTCCAACTGTTCCACAAGCTAGCACCAGTCAAAATGCTATTACCCCAGAAATTGTTCAACAGATGATTGTCTCTGCCTTTTCTAGTTTGGGCTTACAAGGTAAGGGTCAAGTTGTTACTTCTCCTTGGTTTGTTGATTCAGGGGCATCAAATCATATGACAGGCAGTTCTGACTCTTTGCATAATGTTCGACACTATACTAGTACCCAACATATTCAAATTGCTAATGGGAGTACCCTTCCAATTACTGCTGTTGGTGATATTGGATCATCTTTTGATAATGTTTTTGTCTCTCCGGGCTTATCTACTAATTTGATTTCAGTTGGTCAATTAGTTGATAATAACTTTGATGTATGTTTCTCTCATGATGGTTGTCTTGTGCAGGATTAGGGATCGGGGAAGGTAATTGCGAAGGGGCCTAGAGTCGGAAGATTGTTCCCTTTACAGTTTCTTATTCCTACTGCTATGTCGTTGGCTTGTATTGATGTTGGACGTAAACATGTCATTTGGCATAAATGATTAGGTCATCCCAATGCTTTAGTTTTATCTCATATGTTGAAATGTGGTTTGTTGGGTAATAAAGATAAGCCTCGATTTTTCGATTTATCTTTTAATTGTGATGTCTTTAAACTTGGGAAAAGTAAGATTCTTCCATTTCTAGCTCATGTTAGCTGCGCTAATAAGTGTTTTGAGATTATTCATAGTGATGTTTGGAGCGTGACACCTGTCACTTCACATGCTCATTATAAGTATTTTGTGACGTTTATTAATGATTTTAGTCGTTATACTTGGATTTATTTTCTCCGTTCTAAAAGTGAGGTCGGTACCATCCTTCAGACTTTCGTAGCTTACATTGAAACACAATTTTCTTCTGGTATTCGAATTTTAAGGTCCGACAATGGTGGTGAATATATATCTCATCAATGCCAAACCTTTCTACAGCAGAAGGGTATTCTTTCTCAACGTTCTTGTCCATATACTCCTCAGCAGAACGAAGTGGCTGAAAGAAAGAACGTCACTTGTTGGATGTTGTTCGGGTTTTGTTCTTAGAATCTTCGGTTTTCCCCAAATTTTGGGTTGAAGGTCTCTCCACAGCTATACATTTGATTAATCGACTCCGTGCTCAACATTTAGATTTTGACTCTCCTCATTTCCGCCTATACAATACCCATCCTGACTATGATTTGTTGCATACTTTTGGTTGTGTTTGTTTCATCCATTTGCCTTTACATGAACGACAAGCTTTCTGCACAATCGGTGCAGTGTGCTTTCATGGGATACAACATTGCTCAGAAAGGTTTTGTATGTTATGATGGTGTTGCTAATCGCTTCCGTGTCTCTCGCAATGTGGTTTTCTTTGAGAATCAGTATTACTTCCAACACCATCTATCATCTTTTGATTGGACCCCACTCATTAGCTTTGAGGATTGCTCTTATCCTATTGAGCGTTTTAAACTAGGTGTGATATATCAGAGACGACGACCTCCAGCTTCGCGGCCCCTTCTCGATCCCAATCCCGATCCTGATCCCTCTCCTATTTCGGTCTTCGATCCTCTATGGCTATCCACTCGTATTGCTCATTCTCCTGATCCGTATGGTTTCTCTGCTACATTATCTCTATTCACAGTTCCTACTTATTCTCAAGTTACTACCCAACCCTGTTGGGAGAAAGCTATGCAAGAGGAACTTCAAGCTCTTCNTCAAGTTCTTCAAGAAAATCACACATGGAATATTGTTCCTTACCATGTCGGCATCAAACCTATTGGATGTAAATGGGTATATTCTGTTAAGCTCCACTCTGATGGTTCGCTAGATCGCTATAAAGCTCGATTGGTGGCTCTTGGTAATCGTCAAGAATATGGTATAGATTATGAGGAGACATTTGCTCCTGTTGCCAAAATGACAACGGTTCGTACCGTTAATGCTATAGCTGCCTCCAAAGGATGGTCCTTGCGGCAAATGGATGTTAAGAATGCTTTTTTGCATGGCGACATTAAGGAAGAGATTTATATGACACCCCATGCGGGTCTCTTCTCATTGCCCTCTTCCGTTGTTTGTAAGTTAAAGCGCTCACTATGGGTTGAAACAAGCTTCTCGCGCTTGGTTTGACAAGTTTCGCTCCGCTCTCCTTGGTTTTTCATTTACTCAGAGTCAATATGATTCATCGCTCTTTATTTCCAACACCAAGTCGAGTATGGTGCTTCTCCTTGTTTACGTGGATGATATAGTTATTACAGGGACCGACTCTGGTTTGATATCTCACCTTTAAGATCAACTTAAGGAGTCCTTTCATATGAAAGATTTGGGTCCTTTACAATATTTCTTAGGGCTTGAGGTGCTTTCAAGTCCCGCTGGGATTTATCTTCATCAACATAAGTATACAGCGGAGTTGATCCACTTAGCTCGGCTTCAGGATGGTAGATTTGTTGGTACCCCTTTGGAGGTAAATGTGAAATATCGCAAGGAGGAGGGTGATCTTCTTCTTGATCCTTCTTTTTATCGTCAATTGGTAGGTAGTTTGAATTACCTCACTATTACATAACCCGATATCACTTATGCTGTCCAGCAAGTTTGTCAGTGTATGCATGCTCCACGACACCACCACTTGGCTGCTGTTCGTCGTATTATTCGATACTTACTGGGTACACCTAATAAGGGTCTTTTCTTTCCTGTCAATTCCCCTCTTAAGCTAGTTGGTTATAGTGATGTTGATTGGGCCGGATGTATAGACATTCGTCGTTCAATTACAGGTTGGTGTATGTTTCTTGGGACTGCGCTTATTTCGTAGCGAAGTAAGAAGCAAGATCATGTATCTAAATCTTCCACTAAGTCTGAGTATCGTGCTGGTCTTCTCGCGGAACTTGGTTGTCCTCAACTTGGGCCTAATCCTCTTCATGATGACAACAATAGTACCATTCAGATTGCTGCTAATCCCGTGTTTCATGAGCGCACTAAGCACATTGAAGTAGATTGTCACTCTATACGTGAGTTTTATGATGGTCGTCTTATTACTCTTACACATATCGCATCTGATGTTCAGACTGTTGACATATTTACCAAGGCGATGACTCGACAAAGACATTAGTTTCTTGTAGGCAAATTGATACTTCTTGATTGTCCAGCATCAATTTGAGGGGGCATCAATTTGAGGGGGGATGTTAACAGGATTGAAGATTGAAGAAGATTACGCCAAATATTACGAGAATATTCTTGCACACACATATATATATATATGTGTGTACATATATATACACATATATATATATATATGTATATTTGTACCATACATAGAATTACCATATTTAGATTATTTGTAACTATAAATTGTAAGCATCCCTAATGGAAGATTAATTCAGCCAAATTGTTTACAAAATGTAGTATTCTAATGAAACCTGGTTTTCACTTTTTATGCTCTTTTCTTCAGGATCTTCACATGAATTGAAGTATGGCGAGGATGCCACATTGCTTAAAGTAATACTACAGCAGAAAGCTAACTGAGATTCTTTCAAAGCTCTTTCTTCTCAGAAATATAAGTTCTAAATATCCATCTCCGTCCAACAGGTCTGGGAAAAGTTCTCTGGAGTGAACGTCATAGATGCAGCCAATGAGAAAGCTTATGATCCTCAGGAACTGGCTCGCAAATTGCCAACCAATTCAGATACTGTGAAACGAATTGGATTTATTGGACTTGGAGCTATGGGTTTTGGCATGGCAACTCACCTTCTGAAATCAAAATTTTCTGTAGTTGGTTACGACGTGAGTATTTAATTCAGCCTATCATGTTTTATCATAGCTCCTCATATTTAACAGAAACGTATGATTAAGTGAAGAGTGTTTAGTTCCATGAACTGCATTTCCAGTTATCATCTACATCTTGTGCATGGTGGTGATGTATAGATTACATCTGAATGTTCTTCTCTCAGGCTTTCATATAAAAATCTGCCAGCATAAATCAGACGCTAGAAAATAAACACAAAGAGTAAAAATGAAACCGAGTTCGTTTTGTGATTTGGAAAGTGAAAAGTAAAAAAGGAAAAAAAATATATGGTAGAACCTCTGTATTGGAATGTTGGGACCAAACTCTTTTATTACTTGAGGAAGCTATATAACTTAATAGAGGTGTAGTTACGTTATTTTGACTTGGTTATCCTTAGTGCAAGTGGTATAGAGGTAAAGTATGCATTATATTAATAATTAATGGAGCAAGTCAAATTCAATGTATAGACATTGATAAAAGAGATAGACAATACTTTCAAGAAACTAGTATTTATATCTATGTTGTGTTGGAAATATGCAAAAGTCATCTTAAAATTCTAAAATTTTGTACTCTTTAATGTTTTTCTCTTTAAAAGTCTAATATTATGCAATAAATAATAATTATACTATGTGGAGGCAAATTTCTTAAGACATGAACTAGAAAAATTATAATTTATTGTATAATGTTGAGTTTATTCTTATTTATAACTGGTCCAAGTTGGGACCATAATTTTTATGAGTACATGGAGGTTATTCCTATAGAGAGGTTTTACTGTAGATGTCAACTTTTTTTCCTGTTCTGTTTTTTACTTTTATTTTCGTTCAGGACGGCATTGTAGGTGTATTACCACTAATTTAGCTAATCATTATTATTTATTGACTTAAAACTTGTTAGAAAGTATTATTTCTGTGTGAATGACTTAATTTTCACAGAAGTGTAAATGTAAGATTCTAACTAAATGAAGTCAGTTGCTGGATTCAATAATAACACATCTTTATATAAGTTTCTATAAAGTTTCTTCCTAAATCTAAATACAGATGCGAGCTGATAAGTGAGCTTTAGATTAATAGGAGGAAAACATATTCTGATGACCTAGGATATGGGCACTCTTGTGTGACCTTGAAGTAACCACTGTCATCGTTCTCTACTGGCATTCTCTTCAAAACTAGTCTAATTTTGGATCCAAATCCGTACTTGTAGCAAAAACATGACTTGTGAATAAAAAATGAAGATCAACTGTTTAAAATCTTGAAAAACTATTTTAATAAACGGAAATATTAGAATTATATTAACAATATAACTTGAAAAATGTCTAACTATGTCAATATTGAGTCAGCAATATTAAGCGATAATATAATCGCAATAACCATATTCATAGATCATTACCAAATCCATAACAAGGTGGGAAAAACGATCGAGAGAATTGAAAGGATAAACTGATAGTTAATACCAAATACTTGACGGTCATGAAACACATTAGTCAACTATTGACCTTAGTAATTGGCTTCAGTAATGTCATATGAGATGTAGGGCACATAATACATATCGTGAGGAATCAATGATGGAAATTTAGGATTATGGTGAATTAAAATATCAGATTTTATTTATCTATTTATTATTTTTTGTGTATATAAAAAGCATTAGCAGCAAATTTTTCTCAAACTTGAGGTCATGTCCCCTTTGGGAATATAGATCTGCCACTGACATTATTGCTTCTTTTATCAACTATGTTGCTTACTGGTTATCTTGAGCTTGCATTGCCTCTTGTTATGACTCATGAGAGTGTTTAGCCTGTTCAACAGCTTCATTTTTGCACCTCCGAATCTGTGCCTTAGAAGCTCTAATCGCAGAGTGATTATTTGGTTTTGATTAAATAACGGTAACAAGTGATCTTAGAATTAATGATAATTTCATCTTTGGCATATAGGTTTATAAGCCTACACTATCTCGATTTGCAAATGAAGGTGGCTTGATAGGCAACTCCCCGGCAGAAGTATCAAAAGGTAGTCATGCAAACTTACGAAAGGAAACTGCAAAGAATATAAAGGTCTAATTTGTCCGAAAATTATGTGTTTTACTGCTATAACATTCATGGTAATTATTTCTGCTTCTATTTGTGGGATGTGGTCCAAATTATTGGCTGATCAAGGTTGCTAGCAAGATTCGTTATGAAAGTATTTTGTGGCCTTTGGGAGATTTAAACTTCATTTAGTGGGAACCAAAATAACCAATTCCTACCAAAAGTATCATTTTCAATTTCGTCTCGAGGGACAATGAGTGTCGATGGCACTTACTACTTTGTTTGTCGTCTTAACTCTTTAAGTAATTCCTTTTCATGATTGAACTCGGTTATAGGCTCCACTAAAACACCAAGGATTGTGATTAGACCAGTTCATCCTATTCTCTTTTGAAGTGAAAATAGGCTACAGGTTTGGAGAGAGACCGCCATTTGATTTGAGTTAGTAGTGGTAAATCTGTAATGTTATTTCATATCTTTGTTTCCAGATGTTGATGTACTGGTTGTGATGGTTACAAATGAATCTCAAGCTGAAAGTGTTCTATATGGTGATCATAGTGCTGTGGGAGGTGAGAAATGAGAATGTTTGTTTCCTCTGGAATATTTTCGATGAACAGGACTCACTGCCTCTTTGATTTTTGTAGCCCTTCCAAATGGAGCATCTATTATCCTGTCGTCCACTGTTTCTCCAGCATTTATCAGTCAACTAGAGAGAAGATTGCAAAGTAAGTGATTCTATTTCTTATACGATATCCTTTCCATGAATAAATGCGTTTAATAAATAGCAGTGTGTTCAATTCTTAATGATGTACCAATAATGAACTTTTTTTTGTAGCTTAGTATATCTTGTGATTATTCCCAAGATTTGGGTTTCTGAGCGCTTAGCTATGTACATGCTTATTGTTATCATAACTGCATCTAAATTTTACAGATGAAAAGAAGAATTTGAAGTTGGTAGATGCTCCTGTCTCTGGTGGCGTCAAGAGAGCTGCCGATGGAACGCTTACTGTATGATTATTTAATGTTATATTACTCACATCTCAATTTTAAGGAAAGCCACTTTAAATATTTACCATATCAAGAGTGACATTATTAAATGGAGTGATAATATTTATGCCAGATAATGGCGTCAGGTACAGATGAAGCTCTGGAGCATGGTGGTTCAGTTCTTTCAGGTGGAAAAGACACATGGTCATTACTATTTAATAATATATATTATAAATGCTGATTTATTATCTTTGGAAATTCATTTGATAAGTGATTTATTGGCTGCCTCTTGTACAGCACTAAGTGAGAAGCTTTATGTTATTAAAGGAGGTTGTGGAGCTGGAAGGTATGTTTGTGTTTCCTGGATCTTGGGTTTTTTGCTAGGCCCAAATTTCTCTGGCTATTAGCATGCACGTCTTGTGATCTTGGGATGTATTTGTTCTCATCAGTTTACTTAAAGCATACACCTGTAAATTTATTTTTGTTTCTACTTGTTATATTCTAGTGGTGTAAAAATGATCAATCAGCTACTTGCTGGAGTTCATATTGCATCGGCTGCTGAGGCAATGGCATTTGGAGCTCGATTAGGTCTTCATACAAGATTGTTGTTTGATGTCATTACACACAGTGCAGGAACATCATGGTATGTGTGATGCACTCAGAAAAGCATTTATTTTGGTTTTCATTTGATTTGTCATTGAAAATTGTTGTTCTGATTCTTAGAAATTGATTTTTTTCGATTTAAGCACTCAATGTTTCTTGACAAATAACTCAAGATTTTTGCTGTTCTATTTTCATGGGATATATAATGATTTGTCCTCGTAGCTGAAAATCTAAATTTTGTGAGACTTTCTCAATAGATTGAAGTTATAATTAAACACTAAAACTACCGCAGGATGTTTGAGAACCGTGCTCCACACATGGTGGATAATGATTATACGCCATTATCCGCACTTGATATCTTTGTGAAGGATCTGGTAAGACTGATATTCACCAAGAGAAACAGACTTCTTGATTTTGTCTGAAGTTATTTTTTCTTTGTTATCAGATAATTACATATTATAAATTCAAAAGTTTAGTGATCATAATTATTTTACAGGGCATTGTTTCTCGGGAATGTTCATCTCGTAGAGTTCCACTGTTTGTTTCTAGTGTTGCACATCAACTTTTCTTGTCAGGTGGGCTGGAATGAGATTGTTTTGTGAAGCTATATCGCTTTATGTTAGTTATTAGGTTGAATGACATGTTTTACTCTCATCGGAAATCATAATTTCAGTGTTGCTGCCTGCTGGTTGCTCAAACCCATAGCTAATCGGGCTATAAAACTAGCACATTATCAAATTATTCGAGAAATAGGGAAATTTACATAGTCTGCAACATGGAAATATCTGATTATTCTCAAACAGTACGTTCTAGAAATTTTGTGTTTCACGAGGACAACGAACATAGGGGTGAAAAATCTCAATTAGCTATTATAAATCTACAGGTTTACATCTATGGATTTCTTTTACATGCTTTCAAACTTTGGTTGAACTACTAGTAAAGGCACATGAAGTAGCATCAACCATACTCGAGTCACATAAAGGAAAATACTAGGTTTATATCTGGCTAATGCAGAACATGAATATGATTACAGTCACTCCTGATAACTGTACTATCCTTGTCTTTTTCTAAAGTTTCTTAATGATTTGGAAATATAAATATTTCCAATAATAGATGGATAAAAGTTACTGCCAAACCATCTTGACTTAGACAGAATCTTTTCCTTTGTTTTTTCCCATTCTGGGTTTCTTCAAGAAACTAGAGATACAAAGCATCTTAGATTCGTTTGTTGTCCTATATTGAAATTCATCCGTATGCTTTCTAATTGTACTGGAAATTTTTTGCCCAAAAATGTACATGATGTCCCTTTTAGAACCTCAAAGTTATTAACTGAATCCAGCTTGCAATTTTTCGTGGAGTAGGTTCGGCTGCTGGGTGGGGTCGAATAGATGATTCTGCTGTAGTAAAGGTATCGGGTCCTGATATCTGTGTTTAACAACATTGTTTTTTGTAAACTTTTCTCTAGCTTAGAGTTAAATTAACTATCAGAACCATATTCTTTTCAAATATCTAATGATATAATAATGTAATATATTCTAATTGAAAATTTGAGTTCTTTTCTGCCAACTCCCGATATTATGCAGGTTTACGAGACACTCACTGGTGTCAAAGTCGAAGGGAAATCCCAGTTTATTAGTAAAGAGTCTGTGTTGAAATCTCTTCCATGTGAGTGGCCAGAAGATCCCATTGAGGATATACTTAAACTAACCCTGAAAAACTTGAAAACTTTGGTTGTTTTGGATGATGATCCAACTGGGACTCAAACTGTGCATGATGTTGAGGTATTGACAGAATGGTGAGTCACTCCTTAATTATGTTTCTACTTGTGACTTATAAAATAGATGGTGAAAGCTTAACTAAGTCCTCGAATAAGCATTTAAGTTGTTGCACGATATGTCTTCTTTTCAGGAGCGTTGAGTCACTTGTTGATCAGTTCAATAGAAGGCCAAAATGCTTTTTCATTTTGACAAATTCCAGGGCATTAAGTTCTGAAAAGGTAAATATCTCATCAAAAATCTATTTTGCTCAAGCAAGCCAATATTTATTCCACCTGAGGTCATTTTCTTGGGTTCTCCATTCTACAGGCTAGTGCATTAGTAGCAGAGATCTGCAGGAACTTGTCTACTGCAGCAAAGACAGTGAGCAACACTGACTACACAGTAGTTCTGAGGGGGGATTCGACTTTACGCGGTCATTTCCCAGAGGTAAAGATGTTGATGATAAAGAGGATGTTACTTTAGACATTTTCATTCCAGACATGCGTGAATGCTTTGATTTTGATATAACTAGGAAGCAGATGCTGCTGTTTCTGTAATTGGTGAGATGGATGCATGGATAATTTGCCCTTTCTTCCTACAAGGAGGCCGGTACACTATTGGCGACATACACTATGTTGCAGACTCTGATAGGTATTAACTTTTGTTGTTTTCTCCTAAATTATATTAAACCACGTTTGGATAACCTTAAAAAGCTTTGTTGCCAGCTTTCATATATTATATAAAAGAGGTCACTTTCTGATGTCTTTACTTACGAGTAAATTTACGTGTAATTTTTAAATAAGTATTATTTTAGTTGTCAAATTTGGAAACAATTAGGTTACTTGTTCTGAGAATAATGTAAGACTTTCATTTGATACAAGTAACTTGTAAACTAAAATGAAGTTTTCCAAACATGCTTGAAATTTTTTTTACTCAAGATTACCTTTTTTAGTTTTTGGTAAATCTTATTTAAACATGCTTGATAGTTGAGTTGCCTAGCATTAACACTGTATGGAATTGCATCCCTAGACTCATCCCTGCTGGTGAAACAGAGTTTGCGAAAGATGCTTCTTTTGGTTACAAGTCTTCTAATCTTCGAGAGGTTTAGTATTTTCAATTAGCTTTGTGGATAATATAGCACTTTATAAATATTCTAAAAGGAAATTGCAAAGTGTTTTTTTGTTTGGGATTTTAGTGGGTGGAGGAGAAAACTGGAGGACGTATACCTGCTAGCAGTGTTGCATCTATTTCTATCCAACTTCTAAGAAAAGGTGGGCCTGCTTCTGTTTGTGAGAATCTCTGCAGTTTAAAGAAGGTACCAGAGATAGAGCTTGATTGTCATGTCACGCCTGAATTTTATTTATTGATGCATATTGAATCTGAGGTTTGAATATTATTGAATGGAACAGGGGTCTACTTGTGTAGTTAATGCTGCTACCGAAAGAGATATGGCTGTATTTGCCGCAGGAATGATTCAGGTTTATCCATTGTTTTTTGCATTCTAGAAGCTCTCTTACTTACATATTTGTGAAAAAATATGCAAAGCTGCTTTTTATTAGCCTGCATTTAATTTGTAGGCAGAATTGAAGGGAAAGAAATTCTTATGCCGCACTGCAGCTAGTTTTGTTTCAGCTCGGGTTGGAATCATCTCAAAAGCTCCAATTTCACCTAGGGATCTCGGAACGTACAGGGAAAGGAACGGCGGACTTATAGTTGTGGGTTCCTATGTTCCAAAAACAACAAAGCAGGTTATTGTAACAAAAATTTGTCAGTTCAATCATAGAGCTTTCCAACATTTTTTCATTAGTCACAAGTAAATGTGTGGTTGACAGGTTGAAGAGCTACTATTGCATTGTGGTCATGTCTTGAAACATATTGAGGTATTTGTTATATATCATCTGAAATTATTACTTCCGTAACGTTATCAGCAATCAAGTTATTGTTACTGTCTTCCCAAGTCCTTGAAGCCCTTCTGGAGGCATATCCTTCTGCCTAAACTCAGGCCTCAAGTCTTGCTTTAACTTGTTAACGTGTTTGGTGAGGTGGATTACTTAGAACTGAATAATTTAAATATGAAAAAGGTTAATTTCTTCCATAGTAGTCTCAAGCAATATCTAATATTGCATACCAAGCAAGCACTGTATGTACAATGATAACAGCAATTATTATTGTGCAGCAAGAGATGGTCTAATGGTCTTAACTGTTGAAAATATGGTTATAAATTGGCTTTTTGCTATGTTTTCAATAGATTTCTGTTGATAAAATAGCCATGAAGTCATTAGAGGAAAGGGAGGAAGTGATCACTCAAGCAGCTGAGATGGCTGATGTGTTCCTTAAAAGTGGCAAAGATACTCTTCTAATGACTAGTCGACAGCTCATCACGGGAAAAGGTGAGTCTAGTTTTACATATCCCCTCTATCTCGTATCCCTTTCAATTCCAATATCCATTCAATAGCAAAAGAAGATTGTGTATTTTATCTTGTACATTTCTGTTGGTTATCCTCTGTATGGAAAACAGATGCTTCTGAAAGTTTAGCAATCAATTCCAAAGTGAGTTCTGCACTTGTGGAAATAGTGCGCAGGATAACTACAAAACCTCGGTATATCCTTGCAAAGGTACTTATTATTCGTCTGAAGGGCTGTACTGAGATTCACTCTTTATTCAATTACTACCATTATTTAAATCTTGATTTTACTATCTTGTTCTAACCTTGATTTATAGTTATTACATTCGCCTATTACTGTTACTATAGCTGTAAGGTGATCATGTTTCTTTTCACTTTTCTATAATCTTCATACAGAGTGAAGAATTTTATAGATTAACAAAGGAAATTGTTCTTGTCATAGGGTGGAATTACATCATCAGACCTTGCAACGAAAGCCCTAGAAGCAAAACGGGCCAAAATACTTGGACAAGCTTTGGCTGGCGTGCCCTTATGGGAGCTAGGTCCTGAAAGCAGACATCCAGGAGTTCCGTATATTGTTTTTCCTGGTACTTTCAAGTTGTTATTGAAAAAAATTATCAGATCCTGTTGTGATTCTATATTTTTATTCAATAAAATAATTGTATTTCTCAGGAAATGTTGGTGACAGTAAAGCTGTAGCAGAAGTAGTTAAAAATTGGATCCATCCTGGCAGGCTTTCCACCAAGGAACTTTTACTTGTAAAACCTTGTAACCTTTGACAAATTTCAATTTTGTTCATTCAGTTACTGATTATCTGTTACATATGAAGAATGCCGAAAGAGGTGGATATGCTATTGGAGCTTTCAACGTTTATAATTTGGAAGGAATTGAAGCAGTTGTTGCTGCTGCAGAGGAAGAACGAAGTTCTGCTATTTTACAGGTTTGAAGCTTTCATTATCTATATACCAAATTTATGGAATTTAAATTTAAAACTTAACAACTTCCGTAAACAAGTCTATAATCTATATGACATGCTAGAACGCTCTCAGCTGAAATGTGCTTTGATTTGATATTTGATAACAGAATTCTTATGAATATAACTATTTGGCCATTTGTTTACGCCCCTGGCCTAATTGGACGAAAAGATAATCTTCTACATCTTCAGTATGCAATGAAAATTTCCCTATAATGAATAAAAGATCACGAGAAGGTGGAAAGAAATCGAAGAAATCTATTAAGATGTTGACCGTTTAATCACATGATTAATACTGAGATGGGATTGCAGTAGTGAAATTAAAGGACTTCCAACTTGATGCATTGTGCTGGTTATAATGAAAATAAGAAACAAGCTTCCTTAACTAAGACTTGCCCTATGAACATAAGTATATCTTTTATATAAATGAAAGTGTTGAAGGTTTTTAGAAGTCCCCCCTTTCTGTCTGGCACACAAATACTTTGATTAAACATTTGGAATTTGTTATTTGTTCTGTTCCTAGTACCAAATAGAAAAATGAAATGGATACATTGCTATTAATTATGGGTGTCATTTTCGTTTGGTACAGACTCTATAAAACTCATCTTTTCCCGAACTCATTTTCTACATCACATCTCCCAATAACGTCAGTTGTTGTTGTAGTAGAACTTTTCATTTCTAGTTCGGTCTTTCAGTAAGTAGTCAGCTGCGGGCTAACATAACTATTCCCTACTTTTTAACCACACATTCTCCAAAAAAAATCTCTTCCCACAAAATCCATTATTAAAAAATCTACATCAAACAGGCCCCAAGTGTTATATCCATTTTGTGCCTTGCCTACCATGACGGAATGATGACCAAATGCTTCAGTTAAAAGAAAAGGGTTGACAATATTACTTTATTGTTTGTTGTTCCAGATCCATCCTAGTGCCTTGAAGCAAGGAGGAATTCCGTTGGTTGCCTGCTGTATTTCAGCTGCAGAGCAAGCAAGTGTAAGTAGCATTTCATGGATTATGATGTAGCATCATTTCTATTTCTCTAAAAGAATGGAGATCATATTAAATACTCTCCCGAAGAATTACCAAGATTGAACACTTAAGAAGAGAATCTATATTTTATTTTGAGGGATTTTCTTATACTTGATAACGGTTATAGTTTCTGGTCAAAATCATGATTAGTAAATTGTTGAACTTTTGTGACAGGTTCCTATTACGGTTCACTTCGACCACGGAGATTCCAAGCAACAATTGTTAGAAATGCTTGAGTTGGTATGTTTCTTCTTCATTGTAATGCAAAGTGTGTATACTTATTTATTTCTTTTCTAGATTGACCAAAAACTATGATCATGTCCTATTTCCATGGTTATGTAACATATGATTTGAAATGGTATCTCTCTAAAAAATATATTACTAGCAGGACTTTGATTCAGTTATGATAGATGGTTCGCATCTTGCATTCAAAGAAAATATTGTGTACACAAAACACATTGCTGCCCTTGCGCACTCAAAAAAATTGATGGTAGAAGCTGAGTTGGGAAGATTGTCGGGAACAGAAGATGACTTGACTGTGCAAGATTATGAAGCAAAGCTTACTGATGTCAATCAGGTAAGCCCACCCCCTCCTGCCACCTCCTACCTCCAACCACCCTGGGGCTGACATTTATTTGAACTCAGCTATACTTTTGGTTCAGAATTGCCAAATAATCTAGCTACATGTAAATTTCAGGCTGAAGAATTCATTGATACTACTGGTATAGATGCTTTGGCAGTTTGTATCGGAAATGTTCATGGAAAATATCCTGCTAGTGGACCAAATCTGAGACTTGATTTGCTCAAGGTCAAGTATTATATTCCTGATGCTACTTTCATACATATAATTATGGAATTAAGTTGGCATAAGTTCATTCGCACTCTCGTCTAATGTATCTCCCATATTAGATTTTGGCTTCAAAGGAAAAACCAAGTGTTTTGCATTGGGAAACACATGCTAATGCATTTTCAGTACACCAACACGGATTTTCAGCTGGGAACAGAAGTTCCATTGATGTATCTTGTTAAACCAATGCTTTTTCTGGTTTTTGCCTTGTTCATCCATGGATGACTGGAAAAACTGAATTATACTTTGCATTCTTTGTTTACAAATAGTGGAACATTCTGAACTTGGACATGGCGATGTCTGCTGATTTTTTCTTCATCTTGCTTTGCTTTTTCGTCCAGGAACTGTACAAATTGAGTTCAAGAAAAGGAGTTCACCTTGTTCTTCATGGGGCTTCGGGATTGCCAAAGGATATTATCGAGGTAAATATCATTCAGGATAATATTGGACTCAAAATAATCATACTGCTTTTCTGAACTTTATATGTGACATTGGCTTCATTTATGCATTATGAATAGGAATGTATAAAGTGCGGTGTAAGAAAATTCAACGTGAACACTGAAGTTCGTAAGGCTTATATGGAATCGTTAGCCAACTCTCAGAAAGATCTTATCGGTGTCATGAAATCTGCTAAGGAAGCCATGAAAGCCGTGGTTGCAGAGAAGATGCGTCTGTTTGGCTCAGCAGGAAAAGCATGCTAATGTATTGTATTGCGAGGGAAAAATCATCTCACTGTTCAGTCGCTTCACAGTTTTTATGAAATAATTATGGAATATGTTTCAAATTAATTGTGAACTGCCTACGTTTCCATAATTTATCTGTGTGCAAAATATGAATTTTTCTGTTCTTTTGTATATAAGGCACTTAATGTGACTAGTTAATTTTCTAATTACAATAAATTAGACTGTATTATTTGAATTTTTTTTTTTTTCATTTTTCTAAGTTTTAATTTAGATAAGAAAATTTTGTTTTAACTTGAGGAAAGAAAAAAAATTTTCTCTTTGCAAAAATGGTTACAACTCAATATACTATTTCAAAATTCACCTTTTTATTTCACCAACTTTTATCAGAATTTACGAAAAATCTAATTTTATCCAAACTAAATAGGGGCCTAAAATCATATACATCCTCCGCTCCATTTGACTGGATCGTCAGAGTTTGAGCACCAAAACTCAAATTTCATATCGGTAATGTTTATTTTCGATCATTACGACATATTCTGTGAAGTGTTTGATGTGTATCCTTATCAAACAAACAAACTCCAAAGAAAAAAAACTTGGGAGGAAGACGTAAATTATGACCTTTAACATGCAAATAGACAAAAAATCTAATATTTATTTATATCTAGATCGACTTCTAGTCATCATTCTACATGGGGTTTTATTCTAGTTATGAGTTGATCTTGTAACGTTCTCTCTTCTTTTGCAGGACTTCAACTTGTGAATGTTTTCCATTAATATGCGCTTATTCTTGAGCACGTTTCCCTTCACCTTCATGTACAAGTCATGGTACATGTACTTGTCGATTTTGTTGGAATCTCGGTATCGATGCAACAACCGCCGGAGCACTCTTATTCTCCTCATCCATAGTACATTTGTTGGAAGCCTTGCTTCTCTTGTTCCTCTTCTCTTTCCATATCCGGAGTGCCTACCCTTTCTCTTTGCTTCCATGGCTTGTCTAGCACGAGAACGAGAATGGAGTTTTACGGGCTTTTTGATGATATATCCATTTTCTATGAGTTTCCGCATGCTCATTCCTTCGAACGAAAAACATTGAACTGGTTAATAATACAGGGTAAATGACCTTCTTTTGAATAAAAAATAAAGAATCCTATCCAATACCTCTAAATGCAACGTTAAATGGTTATACGAATTGTTATTTAATCGTTCAATACTTCAAAACTGTCTTTTTTACAATCTAGTACATTATAAGAGACTAGCCAAAAAATGACCTCTAATAAAGTTACCCGGCCCTCCTGATGCAATACAAAAAGGAGAAAATTTCATGGAGAAGTGAGACCGAAACAGAAAGACTTAATTTATCGAGTCTCCACTTTGAGTGAAACGGCCCAATAACCTAAAGTCAATGTTTTGCCATGACGTTGGACCTTTTTCGGCCAAATTCTATCATTTAGGGCTCCGAAAATGGAGACTTCAAAAAATTACATCTTTCAGCATAATTCCCACTTCTCCATGAAATCTTCTTCTTTCTCTATTACATTACCATCGAGCAAGGAGATGAAAGTATAAAAAGATATAGCTAAGTAATTACATACTAGAATTTGCCATGGAGATATGAATGGTCTCATTGGGATCCACCCAGATTTTGCCCTTCCCACACTTGAGAATGCTGGCTGCTAATCTCTTCTGCACCCTAAGAGACACCATTTTTTTTTTTTCCTAGACTGCTTCTATTTTGTGTTGATATCTTTTTATTCCTTATATAGAAGAACAAAGTTGTTTAAAAGCATGATAGTTTAGAAAGTCAATTTGTGACATTTGACAAGGTTGTGTAGTTCGTGAAGCAAAAATGCAATGCAAGAATTTTGTAAATCAAAAAAAAATGAGTCTGGCATGTGTTTCTTGGCAAGCAAGTAATTGTGTATTTCGTGAAGCAAACAAGACTTTCAAATTTATTTAGCAATGTGTTTCTTGGCAGCCAAGTAAATATGAATATAGCCCCTCTTTTATGTCCATTATTGGAAAACTCGTTTTTTTCTACGTACTCATTTTCAACTAAACATTTACATAATAAGAGAGAACGTTTGGTAGAGATTAAAATCGGATTCAAATTAAGAAATTAGCCATTATTGTTGACTTTTATTAGGTGAGTGGGATCCAATAACGACTATATTTTCAATTTTAATTAGATTTTAATTCCTCCCAAAATATTTTGCATGTAAATCTAAATTTTTCCCTATTTTTCAATAATGTATTTACCTAAAAATCACTATAAACATTGTTTTTCCCAAATAATAACCACTAAACATGGGCTAATATCATTAACTATTTGGTGTTGACTGGTTGGGAGGAATATCCGTTTCTTGTACCCTATGTGGGCCCAAATTTCACACATACAAACTATCTTGATATGCCCCTTGGTAGAGATTAAAATCAAAGTTTTAGTGGATTTTGATAAAAGTTGATGAAATGTGTAGTTAAAAAGTTGTGAATCTCATAAAATACGTGGTTAAAATTAATTGTTAACTTTGACTTGAAATTTTAATTGAATTTTAATCCAAATCAAACAGGGGCATATACATGGGCAATCTTTAAAAAAAAAAAGCGGTTCATTTTGTAGAGGATAGTGGAACTTAGTGATACAACCTAATAACCTCTAGTGTCGTATTCCATAAATCCAAATATATGCTAGTTTGGAGATGATTGAACTGTTATAGGGAAACACTGAGATGAGTAGGGATTCCATGCATGAACACTTTGTGTGGATTGTCTGAAACCCATCGAGATAAAAACGAGATGAAAGCTTTAAGTTAGAGGTTAGTTTTAAAAACTAGATGTCTAAAAGAAAAGGGGCATTGCACTAATCTTTGAGTACATAAAATGCATCTTTTCAAGCCTATATAACTCGGGTGATTAAGCCTATGAGGGTGATTTAAAGTCTGGTGCCCTATGGTCATCTGACTTGGAAGTTATCGGATTAAAGCTCGCTACATGAGTTATATAGAAAGCAAATGAAAAGATACTCAAATAAAAAGAGAAAAATAAATGGAGAAAAAATATATATATTCAAATATATTGATTACACCCCAGACATCCAATTGACAAAACTACACTTCTGACGAGAAGTAAGTAACTTAGTCTAGTTTTAAGGGTTAAAACAATCAAAAATATAGGAGAATCCCGACTTGTTGAAGTGTGGACTTGGAGGAGTAAGGTCTATCCAAACTAAGAAAGGGTAAGGAACAGAATTGAATGGATTCAATTTAGGATACATCCCAGAAAAATTGAGTGAAAAACATAAGTTTGGAGGTGTGTGTATCTCTCGAGCGAGGAAAGTGCATATTTGACTACTATGGGTCAGTGATTGAACTAATCATAATCTTAATATGTTGACATGAGTTTTCACACGCACACACACGTGTTGGTTATGCATGTAACATGTGGAAACTGATCTAATTTTTGCACTGTTGTAATTGTTCATTTGTCTGACTACTAAATTTCAAATCTGAGACACGACATATTGTTAAACCATGTTGTTCGTAGAGTTTAATTATATTGTTATTGTTTGAGGACAAACAATAGTTCAAGTTTGGAGGAGTTTGATAAATGTATTTTTACATATTTATTTTACTGTCAAAACATGAGCAATTGTTGATTAATATGTTGAAATATAGCATAATTTTATGTAATTTATGTTTTGCAGGACGATGAAGGTTCGAGAATGTTAGGGTCGATTGGAAGCAATTAGAAGTCAAAAAAGAATGGAATATGATCAAAATATTATCAAAATCAATTTGCAATTCGCACATGATATATTCCAAATTTTTAGCCTAAGATTGAGACCTATTTTCGGCATAGTAAAAGTCCGAATTGGAAAAGATCTATTTCTAACAAAATTTTATATCTTAGAGTTATCTTTCCAAATCATTTTGAATCTTATAAATTAGATATTAGAAGAGAAATTTATAACCAAATTACCGACTGCTGTGCGGAGACAAAAAATCCCCGCGCGAAGGTAACTTTCCTAAGGAGAAGACCCCCATACACCATTCTTTTCCTCTTTGACTCAAGAAATTCATGGAGAACTAAAACTCTTGGTAAATCTACGAAGGAACTCGGTTGGAATTAGTGATTTCATGTCTTTTATTCATTTAATTTGATATTTTCATTGTCAAACAATGCTATAATTTAGATTTTCATTCTCTTGAATTTATATTGAAATCGATTTAATATTTACAAGATTTTTCATGAATTCAGTCATGTTTTTTCCATTATTCAATCAAACTATTTATTGAGTTTCAATTTCAATTATTTATTGTTGAGATTGGTTTGACAATTATTATATCCTTCATAGATCCCGTCATGCTTCTTCTATCATTATATTAAACTAGTTGTTGAATTTTAATCTCAATTTCACTTTATTGGTGGATTGATTACTGTCTTATGCTTGATGTATATGGTCGATCTTTGATCTTGTTCCAATAAAATTGTGCTAATATGTCTTAAATCTAAATTCTAGAATTACATTTGTAAATTAAATTTGTTTTCACGATATATCTTCCGATTAGAGTGTCGGGATGAAAATCTCTAATTATGTTATAAAAATGAATAATTGATATGATTGATTCAATCCAATTGGGGGAATTCCGACATTTCACTGTTTCGAATTATTGATTTTAATTTCACCTTTTAACATTGAATCTTATTACACATTTGAGAGAACAATTCAGTCTTTTTGATCTTTTAAATATTCTTCCATCTCCCTGTGGATACGATACCCCAAAGTTGCACTACAACTACCGCGTTATTCTTTGGGCGTAATCATATTTATACATTTTGATTGGCATCTCATCTTTTATTATATATGATGGTTTAACTTATCGAAATCAATTGTAAGTCGAATGCATAAAAACCGAATATCATATACTTGAACATTGTGTAGTGAATTAAGAAGATTCTATATAACAAAATTAGTCTTTCTAAACGTTTTAAATGAAATTTGTTGAAATCAAACATGGTCTATAAGGTTACGTGTTTGATTGACATCTCGTCTTTCATTATAGATGACGATTTAACTTATCCAAAATGATTGTAAGTCGTACACTTAAAAAACTGAATAGGTATATATTTGAACAATTTGTAGTGGAGTAAAATGAATGGTATATAATGAAGTTCTCTTTCCTATACGTTTTTCAACGAAATAGTTTAAAATCAATTACGGTCTAAAAGGTTACGAGTTTGATTGGCATCTCATCTTTTATTATGTATGATGATTTAACTTGTCCAAATTAATTGTAAGTCGTATAATTAAAAATCGAATACGATGCCTGAACATTGTGTAGTTGAGCACAATGAATTACATATAACGAAGTTTGTCTTGCCATACGTTTTTAAACGAAATAGGTTAAAATCAAACACAATCTAAAAGGTTACGAGTTTGATTTGCATCTCGTCCTTCATTATACATTATGGTTTAACTTATCCAAATCAATTGTAAGATGTATACTTAAAAACTGAATACGGTATGCTTGAACAATGTGTAGCGGAGTGATCCATTTGATTTCTCGCAAGTGTACGGTATTTTGAACAAGTAATAAAGTGACGAGTAGAGTATCGTTTCCACGAGAATTATATACTTAAATCAAAGATCAATCAATTTTAAATCTAATTAAATAGTCAAAATTGTTTGAATAATTTATACTAATTTATCTAATTAAACTAACAATTAAATTGAGCAAGTTATGAAAGTTTTGTAAATTTCAATTGGATATTACGAAGACCTAGAATTACAAAATCACAAGAAAACATGTTTAATTTGAAGAACATAAAATGGATTTTAGATTGATGAAAGATAAAAAAGATGAATTTTAAAATCTTGAATCTTTTCAATAGTTTCTTGATGAATCTCCAATATATTTTCTTATTGTCTTTCCAAAAATCAGGGTTGAAACTCCAATTTCTTGAAAATTTGTAATTGTTCTATAATTCTCATAAGAACAATTGATTGGCTTCTCTTTGATATGTTAATTGATGAATTTAGGTGTATGAGAGGTTCTCCTAATGTATTCTATTGTTAGGTATTTATATGAATTGAAAATTGGTTGAAAATCACGTCCAAATTGATTTTCAAAGGAGTTCAAATCGAATAAAGAAAGTTTCCTTCCAACACGCATGTTTTTGTCTCTGTATTTCTGTTTATATTTTTGTCATAACTTTCTCTTTCGATATCTAATTAAAGTGATTCAAAGTGTGTTAAAAAGATAACTTAAAGAACTATAGCATCTACCATCGAAAATGGATATCAATTTTTGACTAAAAATCTAGAGTATAACTTGCACGATTGAAAATTGATTTTTGAAAAATACTTTGATCATATTACATTTCTTATTGACTTCTAATTGCTTCCAATTGACTCTTAACAATCTTCAATTATCATTTTGTGGTCCAAATTAATTATTGAATATTTACAATTCGAACTTTGGACTTCACCATTTTTGCTATTTTTTGCTCACTTCTTCTAATTTTACGTCCAATCATGAGTTTATCCTAATAAATGAAATATACACAAGAATAGGATATAATTTATTAAAAGAAGAAAGAAATGTCAATATTTTAAAACCCGAATAAATGTATAAAATGCACTTATCAAACATTATCCAAACTTAAACATTTATGTGTTCTTAAACAAAATTGCAACAAGATTTTAG